TAAACGCTACGCCTCATGCCTACCCCTGACCGAGCACACATGGGCGTGCCCGCCTGGATGATCTGCAGCGTCTTGTAGTAGGTGGTGCGCTCCTTGAGCTCGTCCAGTCCTGAGACGCCTCAAAGCACCTTCCCACCAGCATCACCATCACCCAGCACCCATCACCCAGCACCCATCACCCAGCACCCATCACCTCGCAGCGGCCCCACCTGGATGATCTGCAGCGTCTTGTAGTAGTTGGTGCGCTCCTTGAGCTCGTCCAGGTGCGCCTGCCTCTCCGCTTTCAGCCGCTCCAACGTGTCGCGATCCCGGTTGTCGTCTGGTGGACAGGCGGGGAGGGAAAACGAGGGAGGGGGGGGGGAGAGAGAGGAGACAGAGGTTAGTGTGAATATGCATGCACATGCGTGTGAGTGCGCGCGTGTATGTGTATGCACACGCCCACAGCCCACAGCCTACAGACCCCAGCCAGCAACCTCCAACCCCCAGCCACCAGCTGTCAGCCCCCAGCCCGCGCCCCACTCACAGAGCTACACGACGGAGTAGATGGCGGTGGCGAGCAGCGGGAAGAGCAGCACGGGCGACGCGTGGAACAGCTGGTGGTGCCAACCAAAGCTTTGGAGTCGACTCAAGCTGGTTTTTTAGAATTATAAAAACTAACGCACAACCCAGGGCCCAGAGCACCCGGCCCACTCACAGAGCTGCACGAGGCGCGAGCAGACGGAGTAGATGGCGGTGGCGAGCAGCGGGAAGAGCAGCACGGGCGACGCGCGCGCCAGGCGGTGGTGCCACAGCAGGTCGGGCGAGCGCGCGAACACCACTGCCAAGCCCACCATCAGGAACTGCGGAGGAGGCGCGCGCACGGGCGAAGGCGGAGGAGGGGTCCGGGGGGGGAAACGGAGGGGGGGGGGGGCGGGGGGGGGGGAGTGCAGAGGTAATCTAAGTTTGGGTGGAGGAGAACGAAGACGAGTGGGAGGGAAGAGCAAGGGGGATGAGACGAAAAAAAGCAGGGAGCGCCGCTGCTGCTGTTGCTGTTGCTGTTGCTGGCACTGCGCTCGCCGTCTAGAGCCGAGAATCAAGGGGGGGCGTGGACAGGGAGAGGTGGAGCGCGCAGGGGGAAGGCGACGACGAGCCCGCCTGTGCCTGAACGCGGAACCAAGTCACAGGCGACGAGGCGACGAGGCGACGAGGCGACGAGGGACCCGCCTGTGCCTGAACCCACCTTCCCAGCCTCTCGCGACTCGCCTTCGTTAGGGGAGTCAACGTGCGGTTGTTGAGGTCAACACGAGCCCGCAACCGCTTCGGTGTAACCATCGGATAAAAGCCTTTTGAAATTTCTGCATGCAACGTTGCTATCTCGACCGTCGAAGCCCCGAGTCGGGCATCTACGCTTGGTCCTTAACCACACGGATCTATACAATAAAATTTGTCTATAACCTAAGATTTTTTTCGCCACCCTAAAGCGTCGGCTTCCTGGAAACAGGTCGACACCATGGCTCCTACTTCCGAGGACGAAGCTTAAACTTATAGAGGCGCCTCACGTACCAAAGGCCCCGGGTCGACGCAATTCCTGGATTCCTCGATTCCAATTCCGGCTTAAAACCCCAACAAAAAGAAAAAGCGCTACGAAAAATAAATTATACAGAATCGAATGAGACCAGCGGAAAAGGGGGGGGGGGCAGCAGAAACAAGCGAATCATGGCGGGGGCGCACCTCGAAGGAGGAGGAGTAGAGCATGATGGAGCGCGCCGTGCGGCGCCACCACACGATGCGCTGCTTGAGGCGGCGGTGCACGTTGACCTCCTCCGACGACAGGTGCTGCAGCTTCTTCTCAAAGTCGTCGTCGTTGCGCCGCCGCCAGAACAGCAGCCGCAGAACCCATCGGAACGGTGCGAAGATCCACCACCCGCCCACCCCGCGGGATCTAGACCCCGAGCCGCTTCGGCTGCTGGATTTCTTATTCAGGAGCTTGCTGCTACCGCCACTGCCGCCGCCGCTGATGATGATGTCTTTCCCGCCTGCTGCGATGATGGCGCCAGTCGAGGAATCCATGGTGCTGGTTTGGTGAAATTTGAGCCAGGAAATTTGCTTCTTATCTCAGGTCGATTCCTACGCCGGCCATGAGCTACTCGACGTCGAAAGCGGATAAGCTGCGGGAGCGAAGCAGATTAGGAGAGGTGAACGACTGGGAGTTGGAAACGACGTCGATGAGACGAGGGAAACGAGGGAGGTGACGACGAGTGCTTCTACAACTAAACGCGGTGTCGCGGAAAGGCGATTATTGAAGGCAATATTTGATTTAAAGAAACCGCAACGGGCAAAAGATGGTGACGCCCTGGGATTCTAGAGGGTCCGTAGCTAACGGAGACGAGGATCTGAGAGGTGGAAGCAGTTAGTAACCAATTTAGAGCTGGGGCGGAATGGCTTAGGACGGAACCAACGGAGGGATTGCATGAATTCTGGATGCAGCCAGTGGTGGCTCACTTCATGAATGTGTGAGGAAAGGGAAGTGTGGAGAGCGGCGAAAACGAGAGAGCGGGTGCGGGGGGAGGGGAGGGGGAGAAGAATTCTGGGGAGACGGATAACGAGATGGCGGTGGTGTCCGACTGAACTCTGGGACTGCCTTTGAGGCGACGTTGGAAAGAGCACGGACAGGGCCTCGCACAGGGCCTCGCTCGCAGTGTCGCCTACATTATCGCCTCACCTCGCTTCGCTTCGCCTAGCTGCGCCCAGCAGCGGTTATCGCAGGTTCGAGAAGCTGAGATTCGAGAACCGAAGACTGGCGGCAGCGTGAGTGTGTGTGTCAGTGTCGCTCGCCCGCCCCGCAGGGAGCCCAAGCAGGGTTCGTTTGATTGGCGGGCTTAAGAAAGTGCGACGACAACGACCAGCAGAGTGCTGGTCAGATTTTAGTTGGTTTCGAAAGCTTCTTCGTTGCCGTTATGGCAACATCCGTTTCAAGAATTATGACTATGTGCGGTCAACCATAGTCTCTTTCACCTTTTTACAATTTTTACATGGTATCAGAGCTTAAGTAAAGAATCTGCAACCACCAGTTCTTGAAGTAGAAAGTAATACTAGAAGTACCTCTAGTAACAGCCAGTATTAAGTTGTAACACCAAAATCAATGTTACAGCCTTGTGATATTTCAAGACTTCAACAACACCTACAGATCACCATCACACCTACTGTCACACAGTTTTTTGGCCTTAACATTCACCGCACACCAACAGTTCCAATTTCTGCAACAGCAGCAACATGCGCAACAATAGTTTCAGCAACAACAGCAACAACCACAGCAGCAATATTAACAACAACAGTTTCCGCAGTAGCATATTTATTTTACTGGTTCTATCTTTCAGGCTCCAAATCTTTAAATAATACGCAGATCAAGACAACTGTTGGGCTGATAAAAGCCCTTAGGATCTTTCCAGAGACTAAGTCCCAGTTGTAATATGAGACTTGAGTAGTGCAGCGGAAGTTGAGGCAGTTGAACCCTTGTACTAGTATATGAGAACAAGTGATTAATGAAAGAAACAAGCATACAGCAATATATAGGAAATAAGAAAGCAGTTGTAGAATACAGTTGCAGGAGCGGTTATCGAGTCGCACAGGCGACTCGATTGCCGCTTCGGTTACCATCCGCGATGTTGTAACTGTCAGTCGCAACCTCCAGTTGCGACCTTTCGAGTTCCTTCGCGTTCTTTGTCTGCCCCCTCGTGTAACCTCCGTTGACTCGCGTACCCCCCCTGTAATCTTCCTCGAGTGTAGTGTTACACTTCAGAAACGCTTAAGTCCTTTGAGATATTTCCAACACTCCCCTTCGTTTCTGGAGTGCTGGCGTGTTCAGATCCGGTGGTGTTTTTTTGTCCGGTCAGGAGCATGCAGTAATCGAATTTTGCCTTCGCCAATTTCTTCGTCAGATAATCTGCGGCCATTTCTGTCGTCGGGCAGTAACTGAGTTGAAGTCTCCCTTTCGCGATTTCATCCTTGACGAAGAACTACCGCAGGGCGATGTGCTTGGTTCGGTTGGCGAAGCCGTCCTTGTTTGCGATTTTGATCGCAGATTGGTTGTCGCAGCGGAGTGAGAAGGCGGGCAGGGTCGCAATCTTCGCTTCCTCGAGTAACTCTCGTAGGTAGAGTCCTTCCTTGGTCGCAATACAAAGGGCGATATACTCTGCTTCAGCCGAAGATAGTGCGATTAGTTCCTGCTTGCTCGACTGCCAGGAGATAGTCCCGATAGGTTCTAGTCGGTAGATGTAGCCAGTCCTAGATCGTCGATTTTCCTTATCTCCCGCGTGGTCGGTGTCGACGTATCCGAGTAGTTGTATGGACGATGTTGTTGCTTTACTGTAGGTAAGCCCGGTCGTCGGCGTGGAGACGAAGTATAGTAGTGCCCGATTGAGTTCCTCGAGATCTTCTTATTCCGGCTGCTTCAGGTGCGTCGCCAGTTGGCTCGCGCTATAAGATAGATCGGGTCGGCAGGTTACTGCTGCGAATAGTAGGCAGCCGAGTTTCTGCTGATACTCCTGAATTTGCTTCGCGGGGAGTTTTGCGGAGGTGCTGCTGTTGTTCCCGTAGCGGTAGGGAGTCGGGACCGTAGTCGGCGTTAGACCGAATTTCTTCGCGACAGTGCCTGCGTATTTTCCGGCGTGTAGGTAGAACGCCGAGTTGTCTTCGACGACATTCAGTCCTAGGTACTGGGTCACTGTGTCGGACACCGTGAGTGTCAAGTCCCTTTTCAGCTCCCCTTCGAACCAGGTGGCGATGTCGGTAGTGGAACCGATGTAGAGCAGGTCGTCGACGTAAACGATGAGTAGGATATACTCTCTTCCCTTCTGCAGTCGGTACATCCCTTGGTCATGTGGCAGCTGTAGGAATCCGATTTTTGCGAGGCGACCGTGAAGATGCTGCTGCCAGAGCCGCGGGGCTTGCTTGATCCCGTATAGGGATTTTATCAGTTGGAATACTTTCGTGGGGTCGTCGATGAATCCGTGGGGTTGCTCGACGAAGATCTCAGCGTCCACAGGTGCGTACAGGAAAGCATTTGCGACGTCGATTTGGCGCAGTGGTAGTTCCTTCGTGGCCGCGACGGCGAGTAGAATGCGCAGGGAGGTGTGACGGGAGACTGGGGCGAAGGTTTCTGTGTAGTCGGTTCCGTATCGTTGATCGAAGCCTCGTACGACCCATCGAGCTTTGAATCGTTCGGTGGAACCGTCCGCATTGGTCTTGATGCGGTACACCCATTTTCCCGAGAGGACGTTCTTCCCGTTGATGCTTGTTGCAGGTACCAGCTTCCATGTATTTCGGTCTTGCAGAGCCTTTAACTCCTTTTCCATCGCCTCCTTCCATTTTGCCTTGTGTTCCCCCCCCAGAGCCTGCGACAGAGTCGATGGCTCGCGCGGAGATGGCGGCGGTGGATGCTGGACGGAGACCCAGAGGCCGAGAATCTGCAGTCCCGTGGGTGTGTGTCGAGGGGAATTTTCATTCCCGGAATAAGCTGCTTCGTCACCGTCTTCTGGGTCAGGTAAGAAGTTGGGGCCGATGCGTTCTGAAACATTTGTGTCGACTGGATGGGGTGTAATGTAACCTTGGTCAGCGAAGTGGTAAAAGGTGTCGAGGTTGCTACTATCGAGAGGGTTGTCTTCGTCGAGTGGAACAGGTACGGAACAGAAAGGGAGTGGTCCGGCAGCTTCCGAGGCTTCAGGTACGTCTTCTTCTGCTGCGTCAGCTTCGGCAGCACGGTCGGCGAAGGAACGAAGTCCTGAGAAGCCGTCGGTGGGGTCTTGTGTGTTAGCAATGTTGTCCAGGTAATGCTGCAGCGTCAGTCGCTCGTAGAAGATAACATCACGTGATGCCACTGTATTTTTGTCTTGTATGTCGAGGATTTTCCATGCGTGAAAATGTTTTGCGATGCCGAGGTGTAGTCCCCATCGAGCTCGTTGAGTGAAGCATCCTGCTCGGGCGGTGTGGGGTCTGTACTGTACCATGCAGCCGAAAACTCGAAGTAATTTTGTGCTGCCCCGTTTTCGTGTCCACAGGAGGTGCGGTGATGCGTTGTTGGGAAGCGATGACGAGGACAACAGGTTGTGCAGGTGAACTGCATGGGTCATCGCGTCTGGCCACAGTGTGGTGGGCAGCCTCATCCCCCGGAGCAGCTTTCGCATCGTCGTCTTCAAGGTCCGGTTCATGCGTTCTGCGACCCCCTGCAGCTAGTGAGCGTATGGCAGAGACACCAGGCGTCTGATTCCTCTTTCCGCCAGATAGGTCCTGAAGCGTTGTGACTGGTATTCCAGTGCACCGTCTGACTGGAAGCTCTTGAGCTTGGTTCCTGATTCTCGTTCGGCGATGGGGAGCCATGTTGTGAAGGCGTCGAACGCTTGATCGCGCGTCTTGAGGTTGTAGTGCCAGACGTATCTGGTTGCTGCGTCGATGGACGTGATGACATAGTTGAAGTCTGCTTCTGTGTCTTCTCGAGGCATGTTTAAAATATCGCTGTAGACTTTTTCCATCGATGCGTATGCCGGTGCGCTTGGGTTGTGATGAGATGGAAAGGACTGGTGGGGAAGATCGGCTTCGGGGCACGTGAAGCACCGTGCGCGTGGTCGTCGAAGTTCTTGGCCGCTTGTTGTTAGGAGGGCGTTGCGTTCTAACACTTCGGCTTGGATGGTTTGTAGTATTGTACTATTTGCAGGGTGCCCGAGGCGTTGGTGCCAGATGTCGTCGGGAGCGCGATGGCCGGACGAACGGTGGTATATGTCGGCGTTGGAGAAGAACGCGACGACTGTGGCGGGACTTCGACAGACTTCTCGTGTGATGGGCATAAGCTGGTCTGCTTCGGTTGGCGGTCCTCGGATCGCTGGTGGTGGTACTCGGCTGGGTCCTGCTGCTGCTACTGCAGGTGATGGTTGGGAAGGGACACTTGCTGGTACTTGTCTTTCTTGTCTGATGACTGCTAATGCTCGTGTTCTTTCTGCTGCAGGTATGGTGTTGGAGTGCCAGAATCCGTCAGTGTCGAAGTCGGGATCAAGATCCGGCGGGTGTGTCCAGGCGGCGAACGACACGATACCGTCGCTGTCGGCAGTACCGCGGTCGGGGACGAAGTCCAACACGAAGACACCGGACTTCAAGAGAGCACGACTGATGAAGAGGCCGCCCTTCCCGTGGTAAAGTCGAAACTCGTTGGAGTAGGAGTCGCACTCCAGGTGAATCCCTTTGGCCATTAGTTGGCTTACGCTTAGTAGGTTGTATCCCAAGTTGTCGACAATGAGGACTTTGTTGAGCTGAAGTATGACGTTTGTCTCCATGGATTGTAACTGAACCACGCCTTGTCTGTTTGTTTTCAGGTTTTCGTTGCTGGCGACGGTGATGATGACGTCGCGGTTGAGGCGTTTCTCTCGTTGCACGAAGCGTCCCGAAGAGCACATGTGTTGACCGCAGCAGCTGTCCAAGAACCAGGTGTTTCGCCCGGTGGGTTCGGCGTTGGCGACCGCAGCGTATGTCGGG